GTTTCCATGGTCACATCACCGTCTCCTTTATTAAAATCAAATATCCCTTTTTCTCCTTCCTATAAGGTCACATGTGATTACATTTAGGGCCCACCCAGATAGTCCAGATTAATTTTCCAATCTTAAAATACACAGCTTGATTACATATGCAAAGTCCCTTTGCCATATAAAGTAGCATTCACAGATACTGAGGATTAGGATGTGGTCATCCTTGGGGTGGGTATTATAAAATTCTATTGCAATAAGCACTTTATGTAGACATATATAAGTGGGAATGTCATTATGGGTCTTTGGAAAATTTCCTACAATAGGTCCTTTTTGAGAGAACAAAGATGTCATTATGGGTCTTTGGAAAATGTTGGAATAAGTTAAAGCCATAAAATTTAGGAAAAGGTAGGAGTGGAAGAATAAGACATACCCATTCACCATTCTGAATAGGTGAAACAGGTGTTACTAAAAGTTTGTTCACCCTTAAGTGCTCTAGGTACTATATCTCTGACTTGAGTAGGACCTGGGGAGAAAATTCTGGTAGAGGGATATATGACAGGCAGCTGTGACAGCAGTGATAAAATATTGAAAAGTCCTTGAATATTCTTAGAACACTGAGCACATTATAAAGTACTTCTCAGAAGGCACATTAACTTTAAAAAAGTAAAATAAGTTCATAAGTGTGTTGTTAAAGTTCTGAAGTAAATAAAATATAATAGTAAAATATATATTGTACTATAATTAGTCAATGTGTAAATAAGCATTGAATATCCCTTTTATTGTCTTGAATTCATTAGATTAGTAAAAGGATAAAACAGAACACTATTGATAAAATGCTTTTTTGGTCCATTCTTTCTTTTTGTCTTCCAAAACTGTTATTAAATATACAGTGTTAAGTCGGCTAACTGAAAATTTCCTACAATAGGTCCTTTTTGAGAGAACAAATCCTCAAAAGATTAAATGAATTACCAGAACAACGTGTTTTTAAAATATATTTCTGACTACAGAATAAAAAGAATAATGAGGGGTGTTATAAAATACAATAGAGTTTCTAAATGGATTTTCCTCAGACACCTGCCTCAGAAAGATCTGGCATTAAAAATGCAGAACCCTAGGTCCCCCCGATCTATATTAGTTTTCACTGTTATACCACTGTCTGTATTAGTTTATCAGGTCTGGTATAACAAAATGCCACAAAATGATAGCCTAAAACGAAAGAAATTTACTCTATCACAATCCTACCACAGTTGTATCACAATTTATTCCATCACAGTTCTGCTTCAAAATCAAGGTGTTGGTTGGCTGGATCTTTACTGGGGGCGTTCCTAGTTTCCGGTGTTTGCTGGCATTCCTTGGTTTTCCTGACTTATGGCTGCATAACTCCATTCTTTGACCCTGTCTTCATTGGTTGTCTTCCCGTTATGTGTGTATGTCTTTACCTGATGTTCTCTTCTGTGTGCCTGTCTGTCTCTGTCTCTCTTTTCCTATTCTCACAAATTTAGTGGATTAAGGGCTCATTCTAATCTAGAATAAGCTTATCTACATTTTAATCACATCTACAAAAAACCTCTCTCTACATAAGATCACATTCATGGTGCCAGGAGTTAAAACTTCAACACACACACACACACACACACACACACACACACACACACACACACACACACATATTAATCCTCACCCAAGGATATTTTTCCATTGATTTTTAGAGAGAGTGGAAGCAAGAGAGAAAGACAGAAAGAACTATAGATGTGAGAGAAACACATCGATTGGCTGCCTCCTGCATGAGCCCTGATCAGGACCCAGGCAGGGGAGGAGGTACATGCCCTTGACCAGAATCTAACCCGGGACCCTTTGGTCCTCAGGCCGACACTTTATCCATTGAGCCAAACTGGCTAGGGTTCAACACATTTGTGTGTGTGTGTGTGTGTGTGTGTGTGTGTGTGTGTGTGTGTGTGTGTGTTGGGGGTTGGCGACATAATACATACCACAATACTATCCAAACAACAATCATTGAAAATTGAAGACCAGACTTAAAAGTTTTTGCTTTAAAATATATCAAATTCTGATCTACTGGCAAGTTATTAAAATGTTGCCCTTTGTGATAAAAACTGAAGCCTGCAGTAATCCTGGCTGTTACTGCTGAGAGGCCCTCCATTCTTTCAGAGTTTCCAGGTTACAAATTGAAGGGGTGTCATTTCTAAATTTGTAACTGCTTATTAACCTTTTGATAAGAACACAGAGATCATTTTGCAGGATTGTAATTAAACATTATGCTGTTTCAAATACAGTAAGAAAATCTTGAGGTTTTTTTTGTTGTTGTTTTTTTACAAAGAATAGTGTATTAATGTATTACATTGGTAATAAAAAAATCTTAAAAGTACAGTTAAGATTTTCTATCTTCTGGTTACTTAGAGGAATAGTGACTTTACCATATCCTAAGTTATGCACTTTATGATTCATACTGAGCTATGGTTTACCAAAAGGTGTGGCAAATGCAGAAGGTTCAGTTATTAGTAATTAACTAGAGTTTTACAATTCCTTTTTACTAATTGCATGTTAAGTGAGGTAGATTTTTCTACTATCAAACTTGGGGAATATCAAAATCAGAGATAAATATAGAACTGTATATTTCTTTGATAATCTTTGTGCAAAAAGTATATTCTACATCAGCAAATATGTGTATACTGAACCAGTATACTAAATTCATATTGTGTAGATTTTTTATAAATCACTAAGTCTGTTACTTAACAAAGCCAATCTTAAAATGTTTAAATTACAAGAGAAAAGGAAAAACATTTTGAGGAATCAAGCATATACCTATTCATTGTTTAAGCTCTTAGGAGATCATTTTAAAATCCCTTAATATCTAGGCTCCTATTCATTACTCTTATTCCTTCCATGTCTACCACTGGTTGAGTGAATGTGGGATAAAAAGATTAAGAATTAGAAAAAAGAAAAGCAAACTTTCTGTCAAGAATCAAATGTATAAAACTAAGGATATAATCTAGGCTAAATTAAAGGACACATCTCATCCAATGTAAACATACATATTTTGGTATATAATAAAATTTTGTACTTCTTGAGTCTATGTGGAATAGAAGAATGTGTAAGAACTTAAGTTCACTCACAATAGGAATCTCATGTTACAATAGATCTCTTTTCTCTGGAAAATATTTTTCAGGATCCAAAACAGCTAAAATGTGAGTTCCTCACAAATTATAGTTTACAGTTTATGAAAATTGGTAACCTGAGCTGCCTTAAACCCTTTATAAAACAAGGTGGAGTATTAGTAAATAAATTATTTTACTGACTACTTTACTTAGTAAGCTTAAATTATATTTGCTTTCTTAAGAGTTTATATTTTCTTAAAAATGTCCTATGTTATCAATTCACATATATCAAAAATAAATTTAAACATATGTGTTTATACCCTTGTAATTGTTCCAATGGATTAAATAAATAAAAAGGCATCCTGATAGCAAAATATTTCTTAGGGGATGTGACTTTTTAACAAGACTAATTCATCATAACCACAATTAGAATATGTTTTTATGAATAAATAATTTAAATTCTAAGTATTTTATTTGATATTTATCATAAGCAAGTCAGACAAATGGAACTCTTAGGATGTAAAAGATAGTAGTACTCAGTAGAAAATCAGGAAAGTATAACACAGAAATGGTCTAGTTATGTACCCATGAAAACATCATCAACTTCTGTATAACAAAGAAATGATGGAGTGGATCAATAAACATCAAAATAAGTGAGAAAAAAGATAGTGAACAAGAAATGCACTTATGAAATGAACTTTTTTCTTGAATAGCATTTCACACTTTTCAGAAGAAAACATCTTCATTTTTTCCACCACTCCCAAATGGGAAATACTCTGTTATCCTATGTTATCAAATTCACTGAAAGTGAACAGAAAATTCAATGGGGTGAATTTCCACAAACTGATTGGATCCAAAGAATTACCCAGATGTTTATTAAACATTTAGGTTTCAAGTCCCACGTACACCTATTGAATTTAAATCTCCACAGGTGGATGCTTATAATTAAGATTTGCACATACATAATCTATATATATAAAAGGATAATATGCAAATCAACTGGACGGCAGAATAAACAGTCGGCTATGACACACATTGACCACTGACCCTAATGGGGAACTGGGAACTGGGGGTGGGTGGCGGTGGACACGGGTGGTGTCAGGGCCCTGATTGCCCTGCCTGTTGCCCCACACACAGAGGGCACAGAGGGCGACCCTCAGCTCATAATATGTAAATCAACTGGACGGCGGAACGATCAGTTGGCTATGACACACACTGCCCACTGACCCCAATGGGGAACTGGGAACTGGGGGTGGGTGGCAGTGGACGTGGGTGGTGTCAGGGCCCTGATTGCCCCGCTTGTTGCCCCACACACAGAGGACACAGAGGGCGACCCTCAGCTGCGGCGGGGGGAGGGGGCGGGGCTGGCTGCCAGCAGCCTGGAAGATCGGCTCTGATCACAGGCCAGGCCTAGGGACCCTACCCGTGCACAAATTTCATGTGCCAGCCTTCTAGTATACTATAAATCAAGTCACTTATTCTGATTATTCTATACCAACCATTCTTAAGGGTTGAGAAAAAGAAGTCTAGTATTCTGACCCACTGTAATTTTAACTGTTTGGTCAAATATAGAATGGGAGAAAATGTTTAAAGCTTCTATTGTTTTAAAAATAAATATTTTTATTGACTTTAGAGAGAAAGAGAGAGAGAGAGAGAGAGAGAGAGAGAGAGAAACATCGGTGATGAGAGAGAATCATTGATTGGCTACCTCCTGCATGCTCCCCACTAGGGATGAGAGAGAATCATTGATCGGCTACCTCCTGCATGCTCCCCAACTCAGCATGTGCCCTGACCGGGAATCATATTGTGACCTCCTGGTTCGTAGGTTGATGCTCAACCACTGAACAACACTGGCTGGGCTAAAACTTCTATGTTTTAATGTCTGAGTAATGTACTTACTACAGTTTTCAGCCTTCCTATTGTCCCGAATCACTATTCTTTGGTTGATGGTGCTGAAGAGCGTCGTCCAGTTGATGGTGTGATAGTAGCACAGGTTGCTGTTGTCAGTAATATAGATGTTTCCTGCACTGATTTCCTTCAGGGACTGGAACTGCAGGGAAGTGATGCCTTGTTGCTTGAGGATAAGCAAGGAGAGGCCACTAAAGAGAGGGGAGAGGGAACATGGAACGATAATAAATATTTTCTGGCCAGGACATTCATTTCTAAAGTAAAATATCAGGTGTCACATCTTACTCCAAAAGAAGATAAACAGACCACAGAGAGAGAGACTGAGTCAATAAATCTGTGCTCAGAATATTAATCTTTACATGCTATATACTGGAGGCTTTAACAGTAATACCCAAAAGAAACATGTTCACTTTTAGAAGTATGAATATTAATGATATCTCTCTCTTAGTGTACTTATTTACCACTGATGTATCTGCTCACTGCCTTCTCTCCTGCCCTCATATCTTCAGTTCCTCAAGGATGAAATCCTGTGTTTAGACTAAATAATTAAATAAATGTATGTGGAATGACTTGCATATACCCTAAATAAGATATTAATTGTATTCTATTTAATAGATGCAGAATGCTTTCCAAGAATAAATATTGCAGAGAATGTCTTTGATATTAGGCTTTAATTTATTTAGGAACAAAAGAATAATTGTACTAGCTGAAGAATGTATAAGTAAAGGTAGGAGATATAAAAATTTACAGAGACGAATGAAATTAAACTTTAATTTTACAAAATATTCAGAAGGCTTGGACAACTAGGGAAAGAATCTCTAAATGTTAAGTAACAACTACATGGTAGAAACAATCATGTCAAGGAAATTGTTTTTATTTCAATATAGTCCACATTTTGTAATTAAGTTCCTTTTGCATTCTCTGAAGAATAACTGTGTTTCCCACATTTCAACTAATGGACATGAGTTTACATTTTGGAGATCTAAACTGTCCCCTTTTATTTTACTTCTAAATCTAAAAATAGTTTGCTGACATATATATCAGCAAAATATGCATGTGTGTGTGTGTACTCAACTGAGCTATAATTCATTATCTCAAATCCTGGCTCCCACTATAAATACTTTGATTTGTGGATTATAATATGAGTATAATGATGCCTTGATATACTTATAATATTCAGTAGATAGTAAAATTTGTTGCATATAACACTTGACTAAGTTATATCTCTGAACTCTCCTTTTATATTAATACTTCCCCATTTACCTTTTAAAACCTCTTATAAATATACCTGTTTTAATAGCAAAATTCAATGAATTTTCTGTGAAATGCCATTATATAATATTTGATGACAATATTGATTTTAGGCAGCATTTAGATTTAAGTAATAAACATTAAATTAAAATATCCTTATGTAAATCAGCTTTTAACTCTTCATAAACAATAGTTTCATAAAGATAAAAATCTGAAATAAAATAAAAGCAGTGGCTTAGTAAATATTAACTCTACTTTTATTATATGAATAAAACTATTGACATTAGAACAGCATCCTTTTGAGCCTTGATCATTCTGTTTATTACAACTAGCACTGCACTCAGGAAGGTGGACTAATTCGTGAAACATCAGCTCTATGATGCTTGGTTCAAATGAAAGCACCAGAGGCAAAACAAGAACTTCCCGTATGGCACTTGTATCCCCTACATCTGAGCCATTTCTAAGTCATCCAACTCTCTCTTTTAATTATAATAAATATGATAAAAAGAATTAATTTTATGCTTCATATCATGCATTCCATACCTGCAAAACATTACTATTACTTTAATGATAGGTGGTTGGAAAATCCAGCTGTGTATTCTGTATACTTTAAGCACAACTGGGGTATTTTTTTGTTGTTGTTGAACTCACATTGGAATTAAAAGAAGAAACCCAATATTTCTAGAATCAGTAAATTCATGATCCTAATAGTTTTGATATAATATACACATGATGCTACTCTTGAAATCTGGGAGACCTGCATCTTTGAACATATAAACCTACCTATAGAGTACTCTTCCACCAATGGTCACCAGGTTAGAAAAAACACTGAAGTCAGTCATGTTTGGGGGCCATGACTGTATGTTCAAGAAACCTATAAAAGAAGAGGACAGTTGAAAAATTCATTACATCATTGTCTGAGCAATAGTGTTTAACAGTGATTATTCTTGAAATATGATAAAAATGTGTTGAAAGATAAGAAAAAGAAAATGAATATTCCTACTTTTGAACCATTTTATCTCATATTTCTGCTTCCAAAATGGAGTGTCTTAGCCAAAGTTTCATGGCTCCAAAACTCCAAAGAATATCAAAGGAGGGGGACAAAGAGGGAGGAATGGGGCACATCTGTAATACTGTCAATAACATTAATGATAATAATAACAATGAGCACCAAAAATCTATATTTCTCAGACATATAGAATCATATAATTGTAGATGTTAATCTACATAAATCTTAATTTAATGTATTCCTCTAAAAGCAAAAATATTTAGACTAACTAGATAAAGAAAAAAAATCAATTTCAATTTCTCTGAAATCCTTTACCACTATATCTCTACACTTACTAGTAGACCTCAGTTGCCCATCTTGCATTCTAAGACATAGACATATATACTTACCCTCCTCATTTGACTTTATACTCTTTAATAACAAATCATGTTTAATTCATTTCTATAAACCCATATCATCTACTATAACAGCACCAAATGTATTACATGCTCTATAAACATGTGCTACATGAATGATATGCATTGCCCACACTAAATAGTACTTCTTGTGAAAAGGTAAAAAAAATGCTTTCAAAGATCAATTGGCACTTGCAAAAAACAGTAACATCAAAATTTCAAGGATATTTTACTCTTTAAATTCCATGGGCTTTCAAAATGTGCATACATGCTAAGGAGTAGAGACTTGAATTTACTTTGAAATTGAGTTTCTGGTTCCAATATTATATAATATTTTCAAGAAATTGTTAAAATTCACATGGTTACTAACACTATTGCACTTGACAAAATTACCTGTTATCTCTCGAACTGTCCGAAATACATTCAGTTTCTCTGGGTCTATAGCTTCAATCGCATTGTAAGGGTCCCTAGAAAACCCGGGAGAGAAGCAATCAGATTCAAAATTAAATAAAGGAATAACAATATAAAAATGTGACATTCTTTTATTCAAGTTGAATTGTCATTATCAAGAGGAAGGGTAACAATGTCTGTCCAGATTTTTCTGCCTTGGATATGGAGGAAAATTTAAAGTTGTTTTGAGGACCACTTTGATGACAGAGAATATGAGTTTATCAAAGGCAAGTCTAGATAAAGAAATGATTCAGTTTGATTATACAGAAGAAACCTCCAAATACAGCAAATCCATTTAATAATAACCATGCTTTATATTTTGCTTTAAATGTTTATTCTTAACTGGGAAAATAAAATCTGCAAATAAATTATGTTATAGTAAGGACATTGCCATCCAGGCTCCTCGAAGCACTCAAAATTGTGAATAACACTTGTGATTTCTTACGAAGCATAAAAACAAACACATGAAGTCACCTTTTTTGCTGTATCTCCACATTTACCTCTTAGTGAGTTTTCTAATATTTATAACATTATATAAAAGTTACTCTTCATATGAATTATTTAGAGCAATTTTGTTACTAACTGATATTTATATTCATTTTTATAACCGACCTATTTGCTTCCATCTATATAAATCATACTAACATTTAAAAACACAATTTACAACAAATTTGATAATATTCAAAAGGTGTTATAAATTTGAAGATCTAATGCATACACATATTTTTGTAAAAAAATGTTTTTGATAAATATATATACAGAGAGAGATGCCCTGTCTTTTCAAAAATGAACATAAATATCTTTTAAAATTAAATGTTTAATAGGGTGTTTTTTTTTCAGAGGTTTTCAACTTAAGAACATTTTTTGGTATAATATACTGATCACATGAAATAATTGCACACTTGAAAATTAAGCCAAACATAAACATAATAATACCAAACATTTCTCAGTAATTCAAGGAATATTTTCAATGTTTAAGGAATACATAGTCTTTTTGAAAATGTTTGATTCCTTTAAAATTATTCTGTACTATCCTGAGCAAGTAGAGACCTAATATTAATACATACTCTTCAGAGAAAAATTGAATTCTCTTCATTGGCCACTTCTCCAAGAGAGATCAAACCTTCTAAGAACAATGAACTTAGGCTTTTTTAGAAGCATATTCACCTGTAGCAATCAATTTAGTTTTATTCTTGCTGTGAACATCTGCCAATTTTTTGCACTTTATACATATATAAAAACAATCTTTATTTGGTTTTTTTATATTGTTTCTTTTTTATTTTTAATTAAATATATTGGGGTGACATTGGTTAATAAAATTATATAGGTGCAAATGTACAATTCTATGTTATATCACCTGTATATTGCACTGTATTGCCCACCACCCAAAGTCAGATCTTCTTCTGTCACCATATATTTGACCCCCTTGACCTTTTACTACTCCCACCACTTCTCTTCCCTCTGGTAACCACCATACTGTTGTTTGTGTCTAAGTTAGGACATCTGTTGTTTTATCAATATTTAGGAGCCTTCTTTTGTGTCCAGAGAATAAACACTAGGATATGGTAGTCCACTGGATGTGATTTAACAGGGTTATCAATCCAGGTGCTCCATAGTCCCCTGAAAAATTGGCATATGGCCTGTTTGGGGGGAAATTGAGCGCGAATCTACTGGCATTTTTTTTTTTATCTTAGAGCCTCTTATAGACTCTATTAGTTCCAGAAACCATGATATATGGAACTACCTTTAGTGTAACTCTCTCAACTTGATTCATTGGCATATTCTTCTACACTGTGAACATCCCATATTGTCAAAGGGAAAAAAATTGCTTGATTAAATGACTGTTTCAAACTAAGAAGTACGGTCCATTTACTGTACAACTAGTTTAAATGGAGAGTTAGGGAGAGCTTGGAGAAACACTATAAATGAGTTTCCCTATAATTTACACATAAACAATGAATATTTTCCTCAATGTGACATGAAGAGCCTTCAAAAGTTTCAAGTCTAAATTAAATGTTCTGGCAAACTTGCTCTATTTATAACTGAAGATGCATAGAATGAATGACTATGCTTTGTATGAATAGGAAGCAAAAATAAAAAAAATAAGTTCACTATGTGGTAAAATTCATGTTGTTATCCTATTTTATGGACAAAGACTTTTGTATGCAGAATAAATGTCAGCACTACAGTAGCAGAATGAACTTTCAACATTTGATTTTTGATGAAAAGCAGTGTCTAGAACAGCTCTGGTCATACAATAAAATATTCTGACTTTATTGAGAAACACTCAAAACCCAGGGCAAGCACACAATAATGGGGTCACTTCAGTCCTATATTAAGAACAGGTCCAGGTTGTGGGGAATTAAGTGAATTCTGGACTGTTCACATGAAGCCCAATGGACCATAGAAATTTTATTTACTTATTTTAGAGATTCAGGACTCTCATAAAATAAGGTGACAGAATCCCACTTACCAACTTCAGAATACCTGTAGGGAGTTTCATTCTACAGACACTTGAAATCCATAGAACTATACAATCAAGAAATTTACTAGCTAAATTCAGAACCGTGAGTAAGAACATTCCATGCGCTCTGTCACCATTGTTGGTGATCCAATATAAAGCTCAGGATAAAGACAGAGCAACATATTTTCTCAATCCCATCACCATCTATTTCTTCATTCAGCCAATTATCACATGTTCATTGTCTTTCAACATTGCAGTCTGTCATCTGAATACTTGCTTGCCAGTGTCTCATTGTGACACAGCATGGACATGTTTATCTGGTGAGCATTTCGTTGCTTCAAGCACATGCACATAAACCATGTCAAACATGACAAGATTGAAGGGGGATTATTCCCATGGATAACCCTAAACACTGCGTTTTGCCTGTGGTTCCCATTCTAAATAAGGAAACAAGAGTACCTAGTCTATCTCTGGCAATGGCACTATTGTTCTAGAAACTAAACATGTTCTCTTATTTCGTCTTTAAATAGATCCAGAGACATAGAAGCATGGAACAGACTGTCTAATCTCAGAGAAAAGGTAGAGGTGGGTGGGAAACGATTAACCAAAGAATTTATATGCATATATGTATAACCCATGGACACGGACAATAGAGTGGTGAAAGCCTGGGGTGGGGGGATGGGTGTGGCCTAGAATGGGGAAGAAAAGGGGTTATTTGTAATACTTTCAACAATAAAGATAAATTTAAAAAATAAATAAATTACAACTGAAGAATTAAAATCACTTAAATATATATATACATATACTAGTATATGGTGGAAGCTTTCTTATCTATGACTTTTATTTCAGAATTGAAAAGGAAGTATTAAAATGCTGAATATATAAGAGATGGATATTGGTCTGATTGGGATGAAAACCACTTGTGTAATGAAATTAATGTGTCTGTTTTAAAATTTTTACCCATACTGATGGACTTCAGGCCAATCATTTATTATATCCAGGTGAAATCAGACACTATGAATCAAGTGGCTTATGTCTTATTTCTCATAAGATACTGTTAACATGATATGCTCTGTCATTCATGGTGATATTTGGTATTCAGTATAGTTAAAATATGAATATGTTGTTTTACTAAGTGTCACATATGCATTAAATTATATGGAAGCACCTAAATATCAACACAGGTCTCCTACCAATGGCCACGGAGGCAATGATAGCAATGAAAAATGGATACAAAGAGCCAGTGGGGACTATAGTGAATTTGATTGAATGTGTCCCATCTTAAAATGGCTAGTACTGCCTAGCTTGAAGAGAGTGTTGCTATGTAAAAATGTGGGCTAAGAATAGCCAAGTAAATACATTTTTAAAAAGAACTTAGAAATCTTGACCTTTAAAGAAAATACTACATGGGCCAATATATCATACCTGGGGTAGAAAGTATAAACATATTATTAGAGTATCTGGCATAGACCCATATTCAAAGCTACATTCTAAAGGGAAAAATGCTTATGTAATAAGACCTAGAGTGATTTATTTAAATAGAAAAAAATATACTATTCTGTTCTATTTCTCTTGTTGTTTCTATTAGGACATATTTATTCTAAATGCGTTCAATTATGTTCCTTCTAGAAATGATATGATACATGTTTAGAGTAAGATTTTGAACTGAAATATGGGAGTGATACTTTTTATCTGTAGCTTGTAGCACTAATATTTAGGGTTTAGGTAGTAATGTAGACAAATAGATAAAATATAAAGTAAAAATATTGACATTTTTATCGCAATTGAAAGACTACAAACTGGGTTGTTTTCCTAGTTAAAACCAGCAGGTGGTTCTGTAATGAAGGAGCCTAGAAAATGTTATGATTTTTACTGCTAAAATGAAATTCATTTTATAGATTTCTTAGAGCTGTACTAACTTTCCAGTCTTAGAAAAAAGAAAAATACACGTAAAGACAAAGAGATGTTCTGAAAGCTCAGGACAATTTTAATTTTCTGATTTGATTTTTGTGAGATACTTTTTGTAAAAAGAAATATTAACTTACATTGCTTTAAACTATTTTTCAAAGAAATTTGAATGGAGTTTCCCACTTTACCCATTGATATTGTTTCCCTAATCATATCTGAAGATATGCCAAGCTTGCTGAAATCCAAGGATGTAATGAGAATGTCCTGCAAATACATCTTAGCTTGTATATAAATTTATATTCTTAAATCTAACCAGTCACTAATCTCATAATCTGATGCATCCCAAACGTTGGTTTACTGTCACTGCTGGTGAAGCCTGCCATCCGATTTTGTTGGAGAAGAGCATTAACACAGGTAGGACTCTCCTGGGTCAAAAGATCAAACAGACAAAGCAAAAGACTCTTAAGCTTAGTCTACACTTACAAAATAATTTTCTGCAAACATTTAATACTAACCCATGAATACCAGTGACAAGGAAGATCAAATTCCCATTGATTTTGGTGCAGTTTATGAACTTGTCGATGTTGCTGGAATCCACAGTCTGTGCGGACATCAGTGATCCCGTGCCGATGCCGTCACACGCTGGAGAAACAGGAGTCACATTTGGGAAATTTGAGAAATCTTTTCAGTCAATAAATCATTGCCTTTTCATTATAAAATAACAGCATGTTTTCATTATAAAATAAAAATATTTACCATAAGAAATACATTGCTTTCTAATAAATAAAATAATAATCTATTCATGCAACATTTACTACTTGGCCCGCTTATAAATATTATCCTGGTATTATCGTCTAGTGACCATGACTTATAAGAATTATATTTTATATCAAGACCCCGTATATATGCATAACAGATACAAAACTAAAACAAAACTTTCCACAATAAGTATTTCCTCTTACTATATAAAATCACCTCATTTCTAATCCATCCTAAAATATTTCTTTAAAATACTTTGTAAATGCTGGTCACTTAAATAATTTCATAGCCTAATGATAGTCTACAATCTGCAGTTTTAAAAACACTGGTCCAATTAAGAATACATATTAAACAGAGTACGAATGATGTGATTGAGTTAAATTAAGTATTACCTGTGCCTTCTGAAGGCTGTACTTAAAAAAAAGAAAGAAAGAAAGAAAGAAAGAAAGAAAGAAAGAAAGAAAGAAAGAAAGAAAGAAAAAGAAAGAAAGAAGAAAACAACACAAAACAGGTGTGTGTTTGTGGGGGTGAGGGGGGAGAGAAGGAGAGAATGTAGTCTAATAAGTCTTAAGTTTGTCCTTTTAAGACTTTAAGGCATTCCTGTTACTTTGAAAACCTCAAAAACATTAGAAAATTTTGAACTGCACGTTTGCCCTGCTTAACTTAAGTTTCATTCTGGTGTGGGATTTGAAAATCATAGCTGGGAGGTATTTCTTTCTCCACTAAAATTATAGAAGATAAATTATATGTGTTTATTGAACACTTATGGTAAACATCTTTGCTATTTTATATATTTTGTCTTTCAAAATACTTTTTAAGACCTAGAGAGTAAATGTCAATTGCATTTCTCTTTGTGCCCCATTTATGCTTAGCAGATCATTTTGCATACATTGGCAAGCAACTAATATGTGTTCATGATGCTAAAATAATAGTGTGCACACTTGTTTTGCTCCTAATTTCTAAGATTTGCTGCTTATAGAATAAAATGCAACTTTTTTTTCTGAATCCTATCAAACTTAACTCAGTTTTATCTGCACCATTTTAGCATATATCATTCAAAATCAGTAATAGACACTGTTACAATAGTAGATACTTCGGGAACTGTTCAAAGTTATGGAAGAGTGTGGGGGGGGGGGAGGTTTGGTTGTGGGAGTGGTGTGCTGTGAGAGGCCCCATTAATATGTAAATGAAAATTTTGTTGTAGGCGCCCTCAGCGATCACTCACCTTTTGGGCAAATATCAGTGCAAGGTTTGCACATTTTAATCCCATTTTCCTCCACTTCCATCTTGGAACTAGGGCAGGCACGCACACAAGAACTGGAGTCGACCACAAAGTTATCTGATAAAAAAGGTAAAATTAGCAATAATGTTGATGTTCTGCAAACAAGTTTACAAGGAGCTATTTTAGGGTGTGAAAAGAATTAGCATTTTTTGATCATATAAATGTCTATTTCCCTAAAACACCTGTTTAAATATCTCAACCTGAAATAGCATCCAGGACCACCCACATTCGAATCCGAGGCCCGCATGTATTAGCAACACCCAGTACTTGCTTGACTGAGCTCCACAGCCCGAAAGGCCCTAAAATAGAGCAAATTTCCTTTATAGACTTAGAAAACTACATGACATTTAGTTTGTGTTTTTCAACAGTTCCACTTCATTTCAGGTCATCATGCAAGTCTGAAGTCGAAAATACTTCAAGTCACAGGAAGCACAAACAAAGCTGAAGTTCAAGTGCCTTGGATCAAGAGAGTGCACTTCACATCCAGGAAGAAACGTTTAAAATGTGTTCGATCTCTTGATGGAGTGCCACAGAAACTGTCCCGTAGCTGGATAGGATGAAACAAACTGAAATCTACAAGGGCACGACTTAAGAAAGGTATACAAAATAAACCAAGAGGATCTAATGGCCTGAAACATGGGTAAACTGTTTAGGGGTCCAGGGATATGGAAAGCAATGCTGTATAGTGAAAATAATGAGTTTGGAAGTCAATGAGACTGCACTCTAACCTCAAACATACCACTTCTTTTCTGAGACTTTGGACCGATCACTTTTATTTAAATTTCTTTATCTTTGAAATGGTAGCAATAGTCCCCATACCCAAGCAATTCATGATATGACAAATTTTAAGTTACAATAAATTTACACGAAATTATTTTGTTTTTAAATAATGATGTAGTTGATTTGGCTATTCTTATCCTCTACTTACGAGGGCATTTCTTGACACAAAATGCTCCGTATGTGTACTTTGCATTGAAGTTATGCTCCAGTTGAAAGGTGGTTGGATTGTAGACAAAAGTTTGGGGACACTGAGTCACACAAGCTCCACTGTCATTGAAATTCATGCAGGCCTGCAACATAGCAAGTATTAACTTTATTTAAAAATAATCTTAATGATACTTATTAAAGGAACAGTTTTTAGAGACATTTGTCTACTTTACTAAGTATATATCGGTTTCATGAAAACTGTAAATTTTGATAATTTCATAGTCATTAGTGCTCAATTTTAAGTTCAAATTTGCTTAGGACTTCTACAATTCTACAAAACTGTTTTTCTAATGTCAGTAAATATAGTTTATCTATAGTTTATTGATGTTCAAATTGTTTAGCATCTATCCACTACTTTGTAGATTTACATTTAAATTATTAAAATTAGCTAATAGTGAAAAATTATTAAGCTCACACTGATTCAAAGGGTTTATGTTGAGTCTTAGAGTTTAGCACTAATAACTAAATCCCCAGTTCTACAGGTGATTTAGTTATTAGTGCTAGACTCTTTTTTAAAAATATTTTTATTGATTTCAGAGAGGAAGAGTGAGATAGAAACATCAATGATGAGAGAGAATCATTAACTGGCTGCCTCCTGCATTTCCCCGACTGGGGATCGAGCCTGCAACCCAGGCATGTGCTCTTGGCCTGGGACCCTCAGACCACAGTCTGACTCTCTATCCACTGAGCCAAACCAGTTAGGGCCAGCTTAGACTATTCTTAAAGCTAGTGTTTGGAGAGTTCAGTGCCTTAAGTGATATTCATTTTCACTGTGTAGTGAGAAAACACGTGATAGCTAATTACACTGAACTCAAAGGAAGGCTCTCGCCGGTGACTGGTCAAAGACTAAATGGAGGGGTATTTAATGCCAAATTAAATAATATGATTCTATTTCCTGCATGATCTTTTTCACAATGCCACACAACTTGGTACAAGCTACCAATTCAAGTAAAACAATTAATTTCCACTGGCATATATTTATATTAAAGTCTCAATTTGTTAAATTGTTCAAATGCCTTTAAGAATAATTAAAAATAAATTTACTACCCGAAAGTGAGGTATTTATTATAAAAATGGAATATAATGACATAAAAACATGTGATTAACAAAGAGTGGATGAACTAAATCTCTTAATTAAAATGTATTAAACCTTCTTAGGAATAATTTAGGCCTTGCAAAGCAGGCTAATGTGAACTCAAATAGTATTTTACAGTCATCATAAATTGTATGTATGATTATTAATAAGCACTAATTTATTCTGTTTCCTCAAAACATTTTCTTCATCAATTGTTGTTTTCGCAAGCACTTTATCATCAACATGACAATTCCCTGATGATGGTCTACTAGATGCATAATCAGAACAAGAATCACTGATGATACGTTATTCACTAAGCTGACACTTTCCAGGAAGAATCTATTAAAAACCAATCTAGAAAACTCAGTATGTTTTAATTTATGGCTATAAAACTTCATGTTTCCTCATAATTGCTTTACTAACATACTTTATGAGATGTTGTGCACAGATTGCTTAGCAACAAAGGAACATAAGCCAGAGGAACCCGACAAACACAACAACATCGCTTACACCCAGGCCTTGGTCTGGCATTCCTGAGCATTCTGTAGGCAATGCCAAAGTGGAATCATGGGACCATTCCATAAAATAATGCAATAAAAATCCCAAAGCTCTCTTGGCACTCTGCTTCTCATGGCAATATGACCATGAACAAAACAGAGTGAAAGCTATGCCTATTGGTGTTTTGTTGTCGTTAATGTTTTGGAATTGTGAACCCAAAGCTGGTTTAGCATCCTCCAGATCTCGTTTCTAGCCCATGTCTGGAGACAAGCAAATGAAAAGGGTCTCAAGCCAAGACCTGCAGAAGAGCTGCTCTAAATTTTTAACATTTTAATATTCTCTTCTTCCTCCTGACTCACTACTGCAATACATACTCTTGTTCACTGTAGAATCAGGGTAGACAAGTTAAAAATTTTTTTTTGACATTAAAAAAAATTCACAAGTGACCATATCATAAGAGCTGTAGTTTCTACCAGGTATTTTTGCTTATTTTTCAGAATTAAGTGCCAATTTGAAAAAAAAATTACTCAATTCTAAATATGTGTGTGTGTGTGTGTGTGTGTGTGTGTGTGTGTGTGTGTGTGTGTTCTCTGAATATTTGAGAAGGGGTAACAAGAAAATAAATTCCTGTGTTTATTTTTAACAACAAAAACAATTTATGAGTTAGCTTAAAGTGCTCTGTGTGTGTATGAAATTGCATTAACTATAGCTCACAGAATTGCTTGTCTGTATTCAAAAGAACAGAAAGAACTATATCAGAGCTATCAAAATATAATCAAAAGTGTCCCCAACAAGTGGTAAATGTTAATTTTAAGAATGTAAAAGTATCCTCTTCTAAAATAAAAATCACACAGATTAGCATGCAAATTGCTTCAAGTGTGTATTTGTAAATCTCATAAATTTTGAATAATATCCATTTGTAAACAACATAAACTAAAAATGCTTAAATTGGTAAACGTATCTTAAATTCATATTTAAAAAATAAAATCCAAGTGCCCCCACTCAGAAACTCAATGATACAACAACATAAAGAGGTAATCACTGTAAATTTTGGAAAGATCCTATTAGTTTTTAAAAGATGTTTCAATATGCTCTCATTCAATTCTCTAATAAATCTCACTGGTAATATAAATTGCAACAGAAAGACATAACAAACAATCCTAGTTCATCAATTGCCACCCAGTGAATGCATGGCTTAACGGAAGGTAGAGAATCTCCCTTAATCCTAAAGTGGTTAAATTAGATCTTTTTCAATAAGGTGTTAATGATTCAATGTGCCGGAGTCAAACCCAGAAGTGAGGGAAGAAGAGCACCCAGACTTACAAAGCAGTCGGTGTCCTTAGGCCCTGAGCAGCCCCCAGCACACTCTCGATGACAGCAGTCACTGACATAGGGTCCGTAGCACCTGCCATCACATTGTTCTGCACACACCGTCCTTGTCACTGCAGAAGACAGATATGAAGCCTGGTCAAATTAGCCACCAAGAGAAGCTTCTAAGGTGACTTGGAGTGAGTAGCTGGGAAAAGCTGGCCTCTAGAATATCACTTGACCCACCATTGACTCAATTCAGCAAATGCATGCTGAATGAAGTCTGCAACAGATCAAAATTACTGTACAAAAATCTTCAAACACATAAATTAATTTATAGATTCTTTGTTTCTCGTGCAAATACTATTGTGCTTTACTAAAATCATACAATTTAACAGGAGAGAATCGAGTTCAAAATAACTGAATGAGGCACTCTAGTAGGTTAGGAAAGATGGAATCAATTCACACTGGGCATAGATAGGTCCTATAGCAGGTGTCCCCAGAAATAACCCTAAGGTTTTTATTGGTCAGTGCAAAAAGAAAAATATAAATCTTTACATGATTCACATTATATCTTACATGATTCATATCAGATAGACAGATGGACATATAGATGAAATGAGAGAGGGAGAGAGAGAGGGGGAGAGAGAACTAAGTAGTAGTAGCACAACTCTTTCTATTCCTGAGATATCAGTGAAATGTCTACTGAGAATCTTCAAAAAGTGGAACCCATGTAAGGAACAGAGCAACTTTCTCGAAGGAAGGGAAGGAGGGGAAGAAGGAAGAAGGTAAAAAAGAAAAATGGGAGTGAGGGATATGGGAGGAAGAAGACACATTCACACTAAATACAACAAAAACTTCCACCGGTCTTTTCTTATAACACCCTTTAATACAAGCTGGCAGAATCCTATAGGTACACTTTAGTAGAATCAACGCTATAGACTGGGCTTCAACATTATGGTATTGAGTAAAATAATTCTGCTTATCTCACTTAGTAAAGATATATTTTAAAGTATTTTGGAGAACTAAATTTTATAGGATATGTATAGCATGTCACTTCTTGGTTTCTGTATTTCCACTTCAGCCTTGTGTCTTCCTACCTCTTTGACTAGTTATTCAAAGCTTCCTTCACTGCTTCAATAGCAAAGCACAACTCCTTAAACATTAGTATTCCTCAGAATTGGTCATGGTTGATCTTGGCAATTTTCTTGGGCTATGGGCTCATGCCTGAATGAAATCATTCATCTTTTACTTTGCATTCTACCTATAGGGAGATTACTTTCAGATTCAGATCTGAATTCTCTATTGAGCTACAGCATGCATCTCTCTCTTTTATTTCTCTTCCTCTCTTCATCACTCCCCTCTGTCCTTTCCTTCTTTCTAGCATTTTTGTTATAGCATCAATCATCATCTAATATATTTTATAACTCATTTGTTTTCTAGTGTATTCTAATGTCTACTTGGCATTCACGTACTTTTTATTTATATTTCATATACATTACACACGTACATTACTTCTACATTATATATGAAATATACCCAAATAAATCATATTCACACATTATACATACATTAATGTTCCTACATTTTATCCAAGTGGTATATTTACTTAGATGCCCTAATTTATAAACCATACCATATAAAAAACACTTATATTTCATATTATATTTAAATAACAGATTTAAATATAATTCCTCTTTCTTATTAAAAAAAAAAAGACTTTTTTGATGTACCAAGAGCTACTAATTAAAACAGCAGATAAATGTTAAGTAACCAAATTACTAGATTTAAAATAAGTGTTATCACAGGATAGTCTGTTAATTTGATTTTAGTGGAAAGAAATTGCTCAGCTGGAAAATAACATGAAGTGAGTCAGCAATCATATCCTATATTTTAATCCAAGTCATGTACATTGAAGTGTTAATCTTTATTTTCAACTCTATAGTGATTAAAGGTAACTTTACAAAATGTCTTTCTCTTTATTTATATACTTTGCTTGATCTCTCCCACAAAATGAGAAAATTAGTGTAGATAATATTTATAAAGATAATTAACCATAAACTTATTTTAATTTATTTATTAAATGTTTATATTAAGATCATTATATTGAATACATTAATTATGAAAATAATATGCTATGATTATAATCTAAGAGTACAATCTTATTTTCTATAATAATATTATACTGTGGAAGTTTTAAAATATGTGTTTTAAATAATTACATCATATGTGTTGAGTCAACTTTAAATTTTTCAAAACAGCTATTTATTTTATATAGTAGTCATATATCTCATATTTTTTAGGACACTTTGATCTTAGATATGCCAGTCCATTTGAGGGACATGCAAAGAAATATCTCTCTAAGTCATTACTTTTATTTTTTTTTTATTTAAGCTATTAAAAGATAATTAAATTACAGGATTTGCTTCAAAACCCATCTAGCATTGATTTTAAAAATAAAAAGTGAGCCAAACCGGTTTGGCTCAGTGGATAGAGCATCGGCCTGTGGACTGAAGGGTCCCGGGTTCAATTCTGGTCAAGGGCATGTACTTTGGTTGTGGGCACATCCCCAGTGGG